AAACTATTATAATAAACTATTTCATAGTGTTGACTGGTCGTCAAATCGAAAGTTTTGATTAAAAAAAATTAAATTTCCGTTTATAATACACGCATGTTATCACGCGGATATCTCGATTTAGGCAAAAGATTTAGGCAAGCACCGATGCGCGTCTTTACTTACCGAGAAAGTATCGCCGATAGTAATAGGCCCCTTCATCGACGCTCTCGATGGGCAGGGGCCGTTTCTGTAGTGGACAAGTATTCTTCCACAAAGTCTCACCGGGCAGGGGCTCCAGGACGGAGACACCGTAAGACAACGATGGTCTGTGAATTCCGTTACCCTGAGAGCAGCGAGTGAGGCCAACCTCGCGTTCCCCCTCGCCGCCGATCTCGTTGCGGAAGAAGGGACACGACTCCAACAAGTCATTACCTTAAATCAATGAGAATATTAGCATGATTCTTTTAAATTCTTTTTATTTGTACGTTTTTTGACTTTATTTGTAGGTTGTCAAAATAGTCACTCGAACATCACTCTTCGATTTTTACGTACAAATTATAACAATTTATTCTAAAACAATAACAATTATTCCTCAAAATAAAGATCATTTAATGACAATTTGCCACCAGTCTGCTAGCTGTCGAATTTGGTCTCGTTATCATTCGAGTTCCTTAAACGCGAAGAACTCATGACAAGCTGCTTCAACTTGCTCAACAATTTCGAATCATTGTCCTAGCAAGAAATGTTTCATTAAATAAAACAGAAGTTAAATGATGCAAGAAGCGAAACGTAATTAAACGATGCAAGAAATGTATGTCAGGTGCGATAGAACCTCGATGCCATCTAGATTAATGGTACCAAGACTAAATCCGACAGTTAACAGACTGATGGTGAAATTATTGAACATGATGGTCTTTACTATTCGAGAGACAATTACCGTTGTTTCGGAATGTGTGTGTGTACGTAAAAACCGGAGAGTAAATTAGAACTTTTTTGACAACCTAGTATAACTGTTTTCTTTGTTTCCTTTTAACACATACCTTTTCCATCGCCGGCGTCTTCCTCGGGGGTCTCGTCAGGCGTGGATGCTCTCAGAGCACTGGCAGCGGACGCTCCGGTGGCCGTGTTTCTTCTTCTGGCCAAGAGAATCCCCCGGAGCTTCGCGGCGTAGCCTAGATTCGCCGTCAACGACTGGCAGTCGTAATGAGCGAACGCACGTCTCCGATGCCGCTCTTCCACGTCGGCCGATACCACCGGACTGGTGCACGTCTCCTCCATCGCCCGTGGCGGCTTACTGCTCCACAGTCTGTTCAGCTTCAGCCGCAGCTTCGGACTGGAACCGGCGCCGGTCGGGCCGCAGACCTCGTCGACGTCGAGCGGCTGGCTAGACCCGTCTTGTTGATGAACGCGACGCAAATAGTCAGCGGCGACGACGCCGCGCTGCTCTGACGGTCGAAAGTCCTGCAGCATGGCGAAGAAATTCTCGCCGCCTGTGATGGACTGCGCCACTACATCGATGCTTCCTGCGACGGGACAAGCAAAATTGAAATCCTTTTGCAACATTGTTCGAAAGTAGCATAGTTGATTTCTTTCAAAAATTGAACTTTATAGAGGAAAATATTAATAAATCATGAAAAATTGCAGTCATATTAAAATTATATAAATTCGTGCGCATACTTTAAAAATACTAAAAAAGTACTCTTTTTTTTATTCAATCGTCCTGATAATGCGATTGAATAAAAGAGGAGAAAGTGTATTATATAAGAGCCCTAGTATTATATAAGAAATTATTTTTTGAGGAAAATATGACAAAAAGAAATAAATTTAACTCGTACCATGGGAACCATACTCCCTTCTCAGAGGCGTCTCTGGCACCCGGGAGGCAGGATCCGGACTGTGTGGAAGCTCCAGACTGGAATTGGACCTGTGAAGGGCCAATCCACGACCTACGCGGTTCACCGGCCCTCCGCTGCCGCCGTTCATTGACAGACTCGCGATCATCTCTTCATTCTGTTAACACAAAAGGAAAAGGAAACTATAAGAAACGGAACTACAAAATACAATAATACAATACACTTGATAATAGAATGTCACGGATTCACATTCGGTGTTAAATTCCTAAATACGACGTTCCTTCGCGTTCGTTCGAAAGTAAGAAACTGGATAGTCGCCACGCGGCGACTCAAGTGTAGATAAACTTAAGTGTCTCTAAACAAGCGCAAACTAGGACGACTAATTAGAGTCATCGAGCCTTTCGCGGTTGTACTTGGCACTTGGTACGTAAACACACGTGTACGTGCGTGTTACACGCACACGCACATACGAGGTAGAAGTATACCCGAGGGTACTACATATTCTCGCGACGAGTTCATTCATCCTGCGAAGTGACTCTCTCGTGCCGCTGGCGACTTTTTCCCTGTCCTTTCCTCTTAATTAAATTGACCCTTAATTACAAGCAAGGCCGACGAGGCGGTAGGAGGCGAAGAGTGGAGGTATGATGGACTAAAAGTCGCGACACGCTAGTTTCCCTTGCCGGTATAGCTGGATCTCTAGGTATAAAAATTGCGTTTTTTTTTTTATACGCTTCTATTTAGTTTCGGAGAAAATAAAATTATTCTAGAGCAGTTTTATTATCTCCGGCCTTAGCGCGCTTTCCAGCAAGAGACATAGATGATACAGCGTAATACAGTGAATTATCACATTCTCGCGTTGTTTGCCAAAGTTAAACGAAGATGAAATGAGATCACTGTGTTACACTGTTTCTTGCTGGAAAGTTTTATTAATCTCAACAGATAGTTTTAATTGATTTTAAAGTTTCCTTTCCCATTTTCTATTTATCATTATGTATAATTTATATCGCGATATATACGCGTCCATTGTCAGAGTTGCCACAGAAAATGAACGTTTAAAAATTCCCTGAGTTTTTCAGGTTTTCCAAATAAAAATAGGAAATTTCCATGACCAATGTAAAATATGTAAAAATTTTAATATTAAAAAACATGTAAAACATTTCAACATTTAGAATTAAGAATTGTAAGAAAGCTAGCTTATATTGTTAAAAACTCAAAAGAAAAGCTTAGTAACGTAATAAAACTTTGAGGGCAAATTCAAGCTAGCAAAAAATTAATTAGTATTGGAAAAAAGAATGCAGTTATGACGAGAAAGAGCGATTGAATGAAATTAATGAATAAAGTATAAATTTTCATTATTTTTAAAACATCATTTAAAGTGCACGACTTTCGACTATAAACGCCAGATATAGTAATAATATTTAAAAAAATTATAAAAATTATTTAGAATAAGAGCAATTTAATTTGTGAGCAAAGTTCAAAATTCCAGTCGCTTACATATTTTTCCCTAACTTTTCCCGATTTTCCCGATTTCCCAGGTCTGTGGCAATCCTGATTGTGTATGTAAATTCATTCCACAATTTTTTTTTTTTTATACACATATTTCAAACTGCTGACTTCCGACTCGGCAAAATTAGAGAACGTGAATTTTGCTGCCTTCCAATTGAACTCTTCAAGGAGAGAGATCACGAGCGGCGCAATCTCCCCTCTGGATCCTCGTTTCTGGCTGGTATTCGAACTGGCGCCGTCTGGCCATCTCTCTTTCTCTCATCCGCGAGGAGGGAGGATTAATTAGCCCCGTTCTCGATCTCCGAATTGTACGGTTCATTGTATGTCGTCATCGAAAATGCGCTCGCAATCTACGAGCATCGCTGCCCGGGAGGGCAGCAAAATTCACGTAGAATGCACCTGCTGCGTCTGCGATTACCTCGACCGGGTATCCGAATTAGCCGTGTGTGAATTTTACCGTTGACCGTTTCGCCAAACACGTCCGGTGAATGGTCGTTCGCATTGTTAACCCCCTCGAGTCTTACGGGACGGCGGAGTTGTACACGCGCTGGCACGGGATCGGCATTGCGTGTCGCCGCCGCCACCGGTGTCACCATTGCTGATACCGCATTATTCTGGCGACACGCACCAACGTATCCGGGAACAATGCGTGCAATTCCGAATGTCCGGCTGTTCAGGTCGTTTTATTTAACCTTGGCAAACGTTCCCAATGTGCGGCCAGATGTCCGGATTCCCAGCGTACGGACACAAAGAGAACGCGGCCTCTTTTCCGGACGCCCTCAAATGCTATCGCATACTTTTTTTAAGTGATCTTAATGCTTACCCGTGACGGAACACTTACGCGTATCTCCCTTTTCTGTGTGTATTATCGCTTCGTTATATTTCACAAAACTTCAAAACTGAAACGCATTTTTGACACGAGATTCATTTATCTCTTTCTTCTACCTAAATTCTTTCGAATGGAATTTCCCTCTTAAAGAAGAATGGCAGAATTTTCATTCTTTAAAGAATCAGATTTTATTCCAAGGAATTTAGAGAGTTTCTTTCCTTCTCAGAGTTAATTTCAAGAAAAAGTTAATTAATCCAAATATCGGGTCTTTATTATAACAGTAAATTTCCCACAGAGCAGAGACCTCCAAGGGACTCCTGTCCTAAAGACAGTTCCCTACACTGAAAGAAAAGATTGGCTGAATATGGCATAGAATTTTTAATTGGTTGCTGCAGCTAATTTTTGGTTGCATTAGCCAATCAAAATCCTATATACTGACATTGCGGATAAGTTAGTGCGACAAAAAATTGACTACTGCAGCCAATAAAAAATACTATGCCACATCTTACCATATAATTTGCTGCAGCAGCCAATCTTCTCTTTCAGTGTATATTCTAAAAACCTTTCCAGAACATCTTTAGGATGAACTAGGTTTATTTTACTTGTACATTTCTTTTCTTTTTTTTACAAATTTTATAATAGAAAGCAAAGACTCATCTAACAGTTTCATACTACTGTTAAAAACCAGTCTCAGTCTCTTTTTCCTGTCGTCACTATGTCAGTCACGGATGAAAGGTGCGGTCATGCTATTCGACGCTGCATCCGTTGTCTCTCGTGGCTCGCCTCATACCGGATATCATTCGCGTATACGACGCGCCGCGTTTTATGCAACTTGGAGCGTCGATCGACGTCGATCGAATCTTCGCCCCTCGGCATGCCGTGAAGTGACGAGTGACGGGCGCGTCGCGTCGCGTCGCGTCGCGTCGTAAAAAAAACGGGAGCTCGGACTCCGAGAGGTATTCGGGCACCGAGAGCG